TAGAAAAGGCGGGACCATGAGACTTTTCAGAGGTTTTGGCCTCGAATTAATAAACCAGACGCAGGGGTAGGGCGAATAAGACCTCGAGCAACACAGATGGGGTGGCAGGGGTCGAGTGAAATATGTGAATCAGGAAGAGAGTAGACTGATTTTACGGGGCAAGAGAGTCTGTGATAAGACCTAGGGAAGGAGGACTGCGTTACAGTATGGCAGACTCTGGTCAACGTTCCCAGCACAAGGGTGAAGAGGGGTGAGAAGGCCAGTGTGGAGTGCGGAGAGTTCTCGTGAAAGCCGCTCAATGGAGCACACCACACTACATCAAAATAGGCAAAGTAAAAATTGAAAAAGGAAAAGCGTGATAGGAGGATATAAGAAATGTGGATAGCCTATGGCAATAGGGTTTGGTCAAAAGATCGGCTTCACTTGTCTCTTTCACGATTTGCTGAATAGTGCTAAGAATGGCGAGACTCACTGATGATGCCGGCAAAACGTCTAGGAATGTACCACGTCCACGGTCCTACTCTGGAGATGATGATGCATACAATGGACTCCAGACAAGGCGCGTTCCTCTAAGTCTTCCTAACAATATGACTGAGTTACAAAAACAAGGTCAATTAACATCTATACAACCTAAGGAGACTGCGACCACACAAAAGGCCACACCATCTTGATCTTCCTACCTTCGAAAAAAGATAGATTTTGTAGAAGAGGATTCAACTGCTCGGTTAAAATTGCATCCATTTCATACCCCATTTATTTCACTTTACTTTTAAACAGCATGTAGGAAAAGCATAAGATTTTCAACCAAATCATGTCTCACGAAGTGGACCTAGCAGAACTATAAAAAGTATGTAAGATTGCAGCCGGCCACCTTCTTGCCTTTGTGCTTGGTGAATTATCGTAAAGCATGATGTCCTGCTCTGACGATATCCATTAGATGGCGGATGAAATTTTAGAAAAGATTCATTGGGGTCGCAGGGTGGTGCACCAAGTAGATACTGGCAAAAATCTACAATCATAGCTACAAGGCAATCCCCCTAAAGCTCCGGTGAGGCCAGCTTACGAATCTCTTCTACTCGTCTCTTCAAACGGAATGAAAGGTATCCTAACATAAATTTAAGTAGAACCTTCTGAAACGATATTAAAGGAATATATACAAATACTAATTCATTATAAAACGGCTTTTTAATTAAATAAATCTCATTCAAGTGATTTGTGATAAATAATCCAAAATAGGAATCCCAGTCGCCCTATGTCTAATAGGATGGAGGACTGGTAGTTGAGTTTTTCTACAAGACTATAAATGGGCAGAATGCAACTTCGACCAAGCTTGGGTTTAATCCGCGCAACCAATAGTAATCGAACCCGGGTAGCGTAGTGTATAATTTCGACAAGTCATAATTACGCCGCATTTACACGAGCGCCTGTGGATCACAGGGCACAAACGGACTTCAAGGCAAGCCAGATTTTTCCTATAGCACATGTATAGCAGGATTAACGATCAGTCACTGGTATTTTAAAATTGCAATTGACTACGTTACGCATAGTCATAGTCATTGGGTGTTGAGATTACTAGTAAATATGTAATAGAAGTTAGAATCACCCTAGGTCACGTAAAGCAAGGGTATGTAGGAATCATTGGCATCATGAGCCTATTAATAACTGTAGGAAAATTCAACTATCATTCCTTCATCGCTTTAAGGACTAATATGAAAATCGACTGATAGCATCGAAACCTACTTAATATGAACAGAAATTAAATTTAATCATTAACTTTGGATAGAAGATTAAGAAAGTGAACCATAAAATTCTCATATATTTAAATTTGATGA